GCCATTTAGAAGACCGCCAGAACCACTTTGAAGAGCCCTCCCCTGGCCTCGCAGCCATCCGTGCGAAGAATGTTCATGGAATCTGCCTCTAGACCCTGGCCCTAACCTAGTTGTCGAGCACCTGCGGAGCTAAAGCTTGTCCTCTGGGATATTCAGGGATCATAGTACCCTACTTCGAGGATCACGGACTTAGCAACTAGGGTGATAAGTAAGGTAACTACGCTTATAATTACTTATAACCCGACTTAGGGTACTTATATCCTTACTTGCTAAGTCCCATGATCCTGCAAGTAAAAAAGTTAAAGGTTACCTACTCTACTACGAGGTCTCAAACCCCTTAACCCTACACTACCCTAAACCCTAAACCCCCCTAAGCCCCATAGGCTCCAAACCCCCTCAGACCCAAAACCCAAGCTAACCCTTAACTAACCCCAAACCCCCTCTTGGACTCTTGGGAAGGTCTGGAGGCTGCCTCGGCCCTTGGCGATCTTGACTAAGGCGCTGCCCCTAGGGGCTTTTGCGGTTTAGGAATTTCGGGTGTGGGGTCTTTGGTCCTGGTTCCTTTTGGAAGTTTACGGCTTGAAGGTTTTTGGAGTGGCTTAGGACTTCGGGTTCAAGGGTTCAGCGAGTATTCATCGAGTAGGACTTTGACGCCTATAGCCGCGTTGATTCAAGGCACAAGTAACCTGGCTCTACAAAAGACACGTCCGTATTGATTTAAAGCTGTGGGGTTTAGGGTTCACATGAATGCAAATGCCGTACCTCTTTAAGATCCTCAACCAAGACATTACGCCAAGCCCTTCACCATACTACACCCCAAACTCCACAAACCCCGAAACCCGTAGTACTCTCAACTCTTTAAAAAGTCCGACTTGTATGAGATAGGGCAAACAGTAAGATCCTCAACGTAGTCGATCTCGGTTAATGCCATATGCCTGATTTCAAGAATCCGATGTGCCAGATGGTCTGAATGCCGGCGACGTAAGAGCTATGAAGGCATATGATAACCCTACAGGTCATGAGATATATCGGTCGGAGCTCTCTTGACGTGGGGTTTCTGTTTCTGTGTATAGGGATCCTGATTAGGGCCATATTATAGGCGGTATTAGGAACAGAATGAGGATGAGAGTGGTCTTCAAGATCTCGGGTACATCGTTGCCTCCTGAAGTTCGGTCTGAAAATGTAGAGTTCAGGGGTTTAGGGTTTAGGGATGATCTACATTGCAAGTCATGGTTTTGCGGTGTGCAGTCCTACTTGGTTCTTCGTGGTTCAGGTATCGACCTCTCCGTAACAGAAAGAGGCGCTAATTGGAGGATCATGGGACTTGGCCAGTTTAGGGTTTAGGGTTATGAGTACCTTAAAGCGGGCTTATGAGTACTTGTAAGTATAGTTACTGTAACTATAACCCGAAAGTCCCATGGTCCTCTAAGGACACACAAGAAGACATCAGTTCAGCCACATAGGGTGGCGTGAGCAGCTACCGGGCTTAATTAAGGTTTATGCATAGGGTTTAGGGTCTAACGTCACGAGGAAGACGTGACAATGGTGTGGAGTTCTGCGGGACTGCAATGGACCCTTGAAGCTGGAATAAATACCAAAACTATTTCGCAGGCTTTTAATTATCCTTACATCAGGAACGAGCGCAAGACCGTATTCTGGGGTTCCTTGAATCCTTAACCCTAACCCAAAGGGTCCAAAGTACCTATATAGTAGAATGTAGGGTTTCTATATTAGGAACCCTTATTATGACTTGGGCAAGTATCCCCCATAACTCCATAACAGTAGCTAGGACCCTTTGGGTAAGGGCTTGCAGTTGAGCTCGAAGCCCTAAACCCTAAACCCTAAACCCTAAACATGCACGCCAAACCCTGCAGACGCCTCCGGCACTCGTCCCGCGAGTGGCCATGCTGGGGCCCTGGAAGGTTCTGAAGGGTACTTGAAGGTTACCTTAGGGCTCCTTTAAAGGGATCCTTAAAGGGATCTATAGGGTTTAGGGTTTAGGCGCTTCTATTGAAGGCTATGGGTTTCAAGCTTAGGGTTTAGACGGTTTAGATCAAGAGAGAGTTTTGAATGGTTTGGGCTTTGGAATCCGGGAAAGATGGAAAGGTTTGAACGGTTTGGAGACGGGTGAAGATTTACGGTAAAGCAGGTGAGATTCTTAGCCGTGAAGCCGAAGTGGACAGGCTTAGAACTCATGTTTGTGCCCTTTTTCAAGGTGCTGATGCCCCAGTGTCGTGGGAGCATCCTTTGGTCGAGCCTGCGGCTCCGCCTTCCCTGGAACAGGTCTGCGATGCACTCGAGAACATACCGCTGCGAAAAGCCGTGCCACCCAGACCTTCCAAAATCCCTTAATTAAGGAATATACCTTAAATTACATTAAGGATACTACTATAATTTAAGGGATATTCCTTATTTAAGGGATTTTGGAAGGTCTGGGCATCACACATGGCCCCAGGAGCCGCCTGGAGGGCGGCGGCGCGGATCATCACTCCGATCGTCCATCGTGAGGTGTGCCGAGCTTGGGCATCAGCCGGCATCCCACATGATTGGCGGGATGGATGGCTTGCGCTTGCACGTAAGCCCCAAAAACCGGGATACGGTCCAGCTGACTACAGGCCGCTTTGTTTGCAAGATCCCGGAGGCAAGGCGATGATTAGCATTCTTGCAGATAAGATCAGACCGGTGGTTAGGGCTTTCGCAAACAGGTTTCCGCAGCACGCTTATCTGGCGGGTTCAGAATGTCGCGCAGGTTAGGGTGTGGGAGTTCAGGCCTGCGACCAAAATTCGGTGTGTCCGAGCGGCACACACAGTGATCCCGGCCTCCGGGGCGTGGTCGACCGGCGTACCTTGAACCTCTAATTAACCCTAAATTTAAATCCTGCACGTTGAACCCTAAATAAATTCTAAACCAAAATACATAACCTGAGTCCTACATAACCCTGAGTCCTGCACCTTAACCTAATCAAGAACAATAACTAAACCCTACACTGCCCTAAATCCTACTGAAATACTAACCCTAAACTGCAATCCTATGCCCTTAGCCCTAGCTTGTCTGGTTCTTAGTAGGGAATGGGGGAATGGATCCCTATGATAGTCCCTGAAAGTCCCTTTTGAGGTCCCTTATAGTACTCCCTAAAGCCCCTTCGCCCATTCCCTACTGAGCACCAGACAGTCTACCAAGAACCCTAAACCCCTACAGCATAACCCTTATAGTAACCCTCAAGAAAACCCTTAAAGGAACCCTTGAGAAAACCCTCAAAGGGACCCTTATGAAAACCCTTAAAAGAACCCTTAAGAAAACCCTCAAAGGAACCCTTATAGTAAACCCTTAAAGGAACCCTTAAAGGAAGCCGGAGACCGAGGATTTCACCCGGCCGAGGGGCTGTCGCACGCCCCACACCCCGGATGCAGGCCGTCCAGGGTTTAATCAGGCTTTAATATAGGGGAAGGACTACCAATACTATTTTCGTGGTTAGATGTAGGAAAATGGGCCCCAAAACCCAATTCCAATTAACAACTATTTTTTTGGGGGGGGGTCCATATTATAATTAAAGTAAAACGCGCCCCCAAACCCTATTCTAATTATCAAGGCCCGTATGTTAGGGGTCGTCTGGCTTGTGGTTGGGTTTAGGGTCTAGGGTTTAGGGTTTAGGGTACTTGGAGGATCATGGGACTTAGTAAGTATGGTTATAAGTACCCTAAGTGGGGATATAAGAAGTTATAAGTACAGTTACCTTAATTATAACCCTAGTTACTAAGTCCCAAGATCCTCTAAGTAGGGTTTAGGGTCTAGCTGGGGTTCCTGTTCTTCTGTGCTCGATGTTCGAGAGCTTTTACTTCTGCCCAAAGAGAGAAATGAAGGCCGCAAAAATGCGTTACACAAGAATCCAAAAGATCCACAGTTCAGTGTTTAGGGGTTTAGGGTTCAGAGGCTTTTCCGTGTCGGGTTTAGGGTTTTGGGGTTTCGGCTTCGGGGTTACCTAGGGCTTGCAGATCCTGCACAAAAGGATATGGCCCTTAAGATTCGGATTTGAGGGTTCGCTTGAAGATTCGATAAGTCTCTCAGGGGTTGCAACTAAGAGGTGCTATAATAAGGGATTGTGAGTTTAGGCCTTCGGGTGCTAAGGCTTAAAGCGCTAAGGATCTTACCAGGGTGGTCTAGGGGGCGTAGGGTTCCGGGCTCTAGGGGGCTGGCTGAGGCTCGAAAGGGTTTAGGGTTCAGGGAACAGGGGTTTGGAGTTCTGGGTGTGGATTTTCCTGGAAGATGATTTACTGGGATTAACAAGTTTGCTAAGCAGGCTTCGAAGGATGCTTCGGCTCAAGCAGGTATTTCCCGAGATAGCCAGAGGTTCATGACGTTCTTGTCATAGTTCGTGATGTCTCTGTTGATGGAGTCTCTAGATGACTCTTATAAGGTAACGGCTCAGTACCCTGGGGAACTCAAGGTTTGCCTGTGGGAGACTATTGGGATTATATAGGGGGTATAGTACCTAAACCTCGAGCCCTATAAACCCTAACCCCAAACCCAGAACCCCGAAACCGGTAAAAAACCCCTATAAACCCGATACTCCAAGTCCTTATAACTACTCTAAGCCCTAAGCCCCTAAACCCTAAACCTTTATCCATATAAAATCCTAAAGCCCGAACCCTAAACCCTAAAACCCTAAACCGCCCTAAGCCCTGAGCCCAGGATCTGCCTTTTTAAGGACTTGTATACAGAAATAAAAAGAAGGAACCTTAAAAAGAAAGGTTTTATAGGGTTAAAGTAAGCCCTGAGCCCGGGATCGGCAAGCCCCAAAAGAGTCGGATTCATATGCGGAGCCGTAATAAAGGCCCAAGGTTTCTTAATCAGGTTTCTACATGACACCCTAAACAAGCTGGCTCTACAAAACCGGATTCGTGTTGTCGTGCAATTTGACGATGACGCACTGACGACAGCTATCATCTCGGTGGATGGATATCATGCGCTGTACTACCCGTCGCAAATTCAGCCTCTGGACATGCAAATGGCGAACGTGCTGGCCTCGGACCTTGCCGCTATCCCGAATCAAGATTGTTTTCCCGAGGTTCCAGTACATTTCTCGTTCATGGATATGACTGGGAGGACAGTCACGGAAGCGGATGCAGCACGTCTGTTACGGTCACTGTTGGGATGTGATTTTCCAACTCGATTCTGTATATAGAATCTAGAGTTCGAACTCAATGCTGTGAACTTGGAGCTCTTGCAGAACTACCTGGGCCTGTTTCCGCACATCCCCATGGCCAGAGAGTCGGAGGCAGTGAGATCAGATACATAGTTATATAGTTATTACTCTACATCGGTCTGTGTGCCCGTTCACAAATTGGGACTGCACCCACGCCACGGAGGCGGGCTTTACGGGCGTTGCGAACCGATTCGCAAGCTTCGAGAGGAGCCCGTCTCTGCAAGAGGTCCGAGCTGTCTTGACGATGCCGGCGCATGGAAAGGGCTTTACGGACATCAGACGTTTAAGAAGGTTAAAGGCCCCTAAACCCTAACCCCTAAAACCCTAAACCGCCCTGAGCCCAGAACCCAGGACCCTAAAACCCTAAACCGCCCTAAGCCCTGAAATCAGGATCCTAAACCCTATAAGCCCTAAACCCTAAAGTTCACGAAAAGTTTAGGGACGAAACCCTAAGCCCTGAGCCCAGGATCTGCAAGCCCAGCTCAAAGAGTCAGAGCGGAGGAACCAACAGCTGAAAGCGCATCTCTCTGAGGCGGGTCTGGTGCGCTTCGTTTCAGGGAATTCAGGGTTTAGGATTTCGGGTTATGGATTTAGGATTTAGCTAGGGCTAAGGAGTTAGGGTTTATAGAGTTTGATTAGGGGCTTCGGCGCGGGTTTAAAGTTTAGGTTTAGGATGCAGGATGCCTTGGGTTTTTTTGAGGTTTACAAGGTTCTGTAGATTTTGTGCTGCAGGTTTTGTGCAATGGGGTTGTGCAGGGTTCCAGAGACGGTTGTCTTTGCAAGGGTTAGTTTGAGTATCGCGTCTACGGGGTAGGGGTTCAGGGTTTAAAATCAGCCCCTATAATATAATTAGAATTGGGGGCTGGTGTATAGTTTTTCATGTAATAACATTAGGACGTTGGTTTTGAGAGGAGGTGACATTTTGTTTATCTGACCCGTGTGATAACTCAGGCCGCGTGGTCAGGTGCTACAGGTTCAGGGTTTAGTACACACCCCGTACTTGGAGGGTCGGGGGACTTAGTAACTGGTTATTTTTGGGACTTATAAGTACCATAACCCCAATTAGGGCCCCGCTTTAGGGTACTTATAACTTTTATAACAGTATTACAGGGTGGGGGCCCCTTCTAAGACAAACCCAACAACACAGAAGTGCAAGTACGTTAACTTTTCAGACCCTAAGGTCTCACAGACTTTCCGAACAAGGATCCCCAGAATCTCAAGCTTTACTCCTCAGCTCTACCTCAACCCCAAACCACCTACCTTGTTGAGGATGTATGAAAGGAAACCATAGTCTGGAACCCTGAAAAGGTAGGGTTTGCAAGGGTCCATGTAAATGTAAACCCTACATAACAAGCAGTTGCATTAGTGGGAACAATACTGGTAAAGCATAGTAACCGTAATATTGATACGAATAACTGCCATCACAATGACAGTAAGAAGAACCAAGACAACACAACAATATTAATGATAATAAGAATAAGAGTAATAGTAACAATAACAATATCAATATTAATGCCAGTAGTGGTGACAGTAGTCGCGGTAGTAGTGGTAGTAGTAGTAGTAGTAGTAGTAGTAGTAGTAGTAGTAGTAGTAGTAGTAGTAGTAGTGGTAGCAGTAGTAGTAGTAGTAGTAGTAGTAGTAGTAGCAGTAGCAGTAGCAGTAGCAGTAGTAGTAGTAGTCGTCGTAGTAGTAGTAGCAGTAAAATGCTAATACGTAGCAAAATGGTAATAGTACTACTAGGCACTGTCACCATACCACTATGCGACACAGTGGTACTACTACGGTCGATGATAAAACCCTGCATTACCTGAATGGCTCCAGACTATGGGAAATTCTGGTATACTCCTTATTATGGGTAATGCAGGATTTATATCATCAACCGTAGACCTAATAGCGATAACAAGAGGACTTAAAGGCTCATGGGACTTAGTAAGTAGGGTTCTCAGTAGGTTTTTATTAGGATAACCCTACTTAGGGGACTTATAACCCCAATTATAACCTACTTACTAAGTCCCCTGATCCTCTAAGTAACCCTAAAGCGGCAGGTGCAGGGCGAGGCTTCCCGGGGCGATCTCTCGCGCAGCGAGGTGTCACGCCTTCAATCAGGCCCCCCGTGGGTTTAGGTTTTCTTTAAGGGATCTACAATAAGGGATCCACAAAAAGGGTCAAGGGGTTTGAGGATCTATAATAAGGGATCCACAAAAAGGGGTTCAGGGGTTTAAGGTTGGGGGAGATTCTTGTTTTGGGGTTTTAGGGTTTATGGGCTTAGGGGGCAGAGGTTTACGGTGAAGGGGATTGGAGGTTGAGGGTTTTGGGTTTCCCAAGGGCGCTTGCATCGGCTCTTTGAATGTTTGGCTAATGGGGTGCTTTATAAGGGTCTAATAAGGTCTATACAGAGTCTATACGGGTTTTGCAAGAGGTCCTTGAATAAAATAATAACAATAATAATATTAATATAGTTGACAATCATAATGATCAATAACCCGTTGCAATGTTACCCTTGTCAGAAGCGGATAGAGGGGAAGCTGGTACATGGAGGGTTTTCTTGCAGGGCTGTAAGGCGTGGAGCTTTACGGTTATGGATTGGGATTCAGGGTTTTTCCGCTGTTTTGCAGCCTACAAGTTGCCACTGGGGAGTTCTATTGGCTCTGCTGGGGCTGGTGCACATTGGCGTTGCGGCTCTCTCGTTTTTCCCGACATCCCCACCCCATCATCATCACAGATTTAGCCTTTCCCATGCGGAGTTCCACAGGAAGTCAACAGTGAAGGCCATGTCCTAGACCACACGGACCCTAAACCCTCAATGACATCGTCATCATTGACGGAATGGATGCGGGAGATATTGCCCATGTGCCCTGTTGGTGGACTCTAGGGTTTAGGGTCTAGGGTTTAGGGTTTAGGGACTAACACCTGACACCTTGATCAACAAGAACTGCTCTCGGTACGGCCCGTTGAGGATTCTGAAGCCGTCAACCCTGCACCCTGAAACCCTGAATTCAGAAGGCGCTTGAGGTTTAGGGTTTGGCTCTAAGTTTTGCAGGAGAGTTTCCTCAAGTCTTAAGCCCAATCCCCTCCCCAAACCGAAAGAGCCTGAAAGTAGAACCTCGAAATGCCGGTGCGACTCGAATCCTGTCAAGCCACGAAACTTCAATTTTCACGTCTGAGGGTTTATAATGGAGTTTTGCACTCCTCTCATGGAGGGGTCTGCAAGAGTCTGTATGGGTTCTATAAGGTTGTAGGGGTGAAGGGTTTTTAAGGTTTTAGGTCGCGCGTTTTGGTTCTACGGTTTCGGGTTTCAGCGCTTTGGATTTTAGGTTTGCTCCGTCGTGACAGGAGGTGACAACGTGGCCGAAGGTGCGACAGAGGCGCGCTTGGCGTTGCACAGACTTTCCTCAATATAGGAGCCCTTGAGTGTGTTTTTACAAAACTTAGAGCCTTAAGTCCTAAACCTACACCCTGATAGAATCCTTTATAGAATCCCCCGAAGTGTTTATCTCTCAGAGGGGCCCTTATGGAACGGCTCCCAAACTGCAAACCCTAAACCCTACACCCTAAACCTTAAACTCCTACACCCTAAACCCTAAAACCCTAACTCCTACGAACCCTAAACCCTAAAGCCTAAACCCTTATAAACCAGTAAAGGTTCCAAACAGCTTTCTTGTGGTCTTGTGGTTGCGAGGATCCAGCGGCCCGCGTCCCGGAGACGCCGCCGAAGTTGAAGCTGCCAACCTCTCCGGCAGGCAGCGGTTTTGAATTTAGGGCTCCTTCTAGGGTTCCGTTCAAGGGGTCCCTGTAAGGGTTCCTTTGAGGGTTTCCTTAAGCGATTGTTTCTGGGTTTAGGGTTAAGGGTTTAGGGTTTGGGAGTTTTTTGGGCTTGGGAAGGCCTAGGGGCTTATGGTTGATAAGAACCTACCCGAACCTGCTGAAACCAACGTAGGCATTCTGTTAGGGTTAGTCAGCCTATGATTCTACTGGCAAAAACACTAAAGTCTTAAGTTGAGCAATCTGATTCTTATGATGTCTGAAAACCAACCTTGATCTTATGACGGCTCTGATACCGCACCTCGATGATACACTCCACATACGCATCCTCCGTCTGTAGTTCAATAAGAAATGTACATTAAACCCAAAACCCCAATCATATGCTGGGGATATTCGCCTGAGTTCGGACCGTAACTTCGAGACCTGTAAGCACGTAGTTGCATAAGCCAGAGGACCACATCGGCAGCCCCAGACATAGTTTACTTCTTCCCTAGACCACCATCTTCTTAACCCCCCCCCCCCCCCCCCCGAACCAGGCCCGCCGGAAGTGCAAACCCAAAACCCCTAGACTCCCAGCAGGACCTTCCCAGACCCTGAACCTTCAAGTCTGATCTTCATGCATCGTCCGTTTCAGATTCGACTTTGGGCTGCCAATCATGTGTCAAAAACTGTGTCATTACCAAGAGGGTACCTTAGGGTTCCTTTAAAGGGGTACTATAAGGGATCTATAGGGGTTCTATAAAGGGTTTAGGGTGTAGAGGTTTGGGAGTTTCCGAAAATTAGGGGTACCGTATTTTGGGGCCCTTATAATAAGGATCCTACTACTTAGGGTATCATATTAGGGTCCCCTATTTTCGGAAACTCCCATATATGCGCTACCAATGGAAGTAGATCCCTCAAACCCGTTATTAGGACGGTCTTTCGGGGCCTCTTTCCAGAAGGGTAATGCATGTGGACCCTTCTGGTTATCATTCACTTAACACAATTCCATTGGATTGTAAGGGCTTTAGGTGTTTTTTTAGAGTTTTCTGTCAACGTAACCTATGGTGTTACTTTGCAGCCACTGCGACCATGAGTGCAAGACCCATCTAAGTTTGCGCAATACCCTAAGGGTCCACGTGCCCAAATAGTATATACTTTGGCTGCAATGTACCTATATAGTGACTACTTTAAGGCCAAAGCATATACTCTTTCGGTACATGGACCCTTAGGGATAGAAACCCGGTCGTTCAACCACGCGAGACCACGAACGGCCCTTAGCCACCAAAACTAGGGCCCAGAGTAGGCCCTTATTCACTTTTTTAGGGTTCAGGTTTCCTTATAAGTCCCTTTAAACCAAAAAGGGCACCCTTTGTATTTCTAGGTTACTTTTCGGTCTAGACAAGCAACCAGCATCAACGAGACGGGAGCTTTGAAGCATAGTCGTGCTACGGTTGAAGATATAAACCCTGCCTTGCCCATGATAAGGAATAGAGTTACCATGATTCCCATAGTCCAGGGTCATTACGGTAATGCAGGATTTATATCATCATCAGTAGGTAGCGGATAACTATTTGTGATTTGGGGCGTTTAGGGGCTTAGGTGGTTTTAGAGTCTATGCGGCTCGGGGCTTGGGGCTTAATTGGGGTTTCAGGCTAAGGGTTTGTGGACTGAGTAATTAGGCTTCAAGCAAGTAATGTAACTGCAGATATGCAGACTTATCCGCTCAGAGAAGTTTTCTTTAAACCTCAAACCCTGAACCCTAAACCTCACTTTGGTCTGATGTTCTCAGTGTAAGCCCTTGTGGCCGATTCTCGCTCTCGTGCAGAGTCGAAAGAGCCATTGCACTTAAAACAAATTTTCACTTTGACTTACAAGCTTGCAGGCTAAACCCATGCAGCCAGATTCCCTGGACCCCTGAAGCCTAAACTCCAAAAGCCCAAAATCCTAAACCCAAAACTTTGATCGTTTGTAGAACCTTCTAGGCCCCTTCGAATGTATAGTAGATACATTATAGAACCTTTTAGACACCATTTAAAAATTTATAGGAGATCCCTTAAAGCTTCCTGAAACGAACCCTAAGCCCCAAAGGGAGCTTCAGCCAAGAGCCAAGAGCCCACCTGCCATCGCAGGTTCAGCCAAGAGGCGCGACGCTAGGGGCTGGGACAGCAAGGATTTATGGTTTAGGGTTTGTGGGTTTAGGGTTTAGGGTTTGTGGGCTGTGGGGGATTTCAGTATGTCTCGAGCTTCAGTTGTTTTCATCTAATTTCTTTAGGGTCTGGGATCAGCGTCTGAAACCTAAACCTGCGAAGAGGCACAAGGATTACCGCCCCTCCTCTTGACATTATACATCATAAAATCAGACAAGATGATAAAAGGTTTGCTGTCCATTTGTTGCTTCGGTGCTGAGTTTAGGGAGGCATCGCGATGAGGTGTCGGGCTGTAGGCTTCAAGAGTTCCTGTCAGTGCTTCGAGATTGTACTTAGAGGATCATGGGGCTTAGTAAGTAGGTTATAATTGGGTTTATAAGTCCCCAAAGTGGGGTTATCCCAAATATAACCAACTTATAACCTCACTTGCTAAGTCCCATGAGCCTTTAAGTATACGTGGGTTTAGAATTCGGGGCTGTTGGGGCCTCGCCAGGGTAGACAGACTTCGGCGATTCAGGTGGGCAAGGTTTGTGCATGGCTGACAGACGTATAATGTCACTTGGATACTGCCTTACTCAGTAGCAGTTGAATATTATTTGTGTCTGAATCTAATTGTAATAATATATAGATATAAGGCCACTACTGGCACCCTGATTATAGACTCATAGACTGTTACTGTATGGGGGCAGCACCCAAATCTCACCAAGTGAGGTTTTCCTTGCGTCCCAAAGTCCTGAGCCTAGTCCTTATCCGGACAGAAATAGATTTAATGGTTTGGGGTTTAAGCCACCATCTCTGCCAGCACCAAATTGGATTTTAGTTTGGCGTTTCGGGTTTAGGGACTTTACAACCCCAATAAATCCCAAATTAGTTCTGAACAATTGGCAGCGGTATCACCGGAAAGTCCCTACATAACTATACTAGAAGAAACACCCAAACTCTACTCTGTTTGTCAAGGCCCCTGTGTTGAACCCTACTGCCCGGGCAATTCCGGGCACGTACGATCCGATCCAGTTCTTGATCCCTGTTTCACTCGCGCCTCCCGCACGCTGGCTTTGTTAGAAGTAGAGTACGTAGCCGAGAACCTTCTTGCTGTACTCATAATCATAATCCCTACACATTCCAACTGTGACCAGAGGCCGGAAAATTGGCAGGTGCCGGCTTCTTAGAGTTCACTGTAATGCCCCCTTGCAGAATAATGGTGTACCATCATATACCTCAAAAGCCTATTGCAACCCTGGCCCCTGCTACTTAAATGATATAGGCGGTGCGAGCGAACAGTGTTACAACCCGAAGACTCTTTACTGTGGTCGTCCGTTCACGGCTTGATGAAGGATGTCTGCCGCTCCACCAACGGCGGCCGCTACCGCAGCAGCACCACAATGCTGGAGCCACACGGTCTAGATTGATGGTTTTTGGGAAGCGACTCGAGCATTAGTGTGGATTTCAATGCTTCTTGTAGAGTTTGAGTTTTGGACTCCGATTGATTTTATCGATGCAGAGGCAGCTAGTTACTGTCTGAATGAACCGGAGTCTCATAGTCCCAAATCCAACCTCATCCGGTTTGGGGTGCTGAGCAGAGAGGCTAAAGTTTAAGCCAAAACCCTAGACCCATTGAACCCACGACATCTCGGTCCGGTTCTTTTTAAAAGGACCCTTTCGGGCATCGTCTCAGGGGGGCTATTAGCGCCTTCAGTAGGAAGCAAGAGATGTGGACCATCTGCTCTTTTTCGTTGTCGTTGAAAGGTTTCTTTAGGGTTCCCATCTCCGTAAGTAGGGCATAGAAAGGGTGTTTTAGCAATTCTGGCTTCGAAAGGTTGTGGTATACCCTTAACCCTCCAGCGGTTGGGCGTTGGCACAGGGTGCAGGGTCCATGGGTCGTTTGAGGAGGGCTACATACATATGGTTACAAGCATAGGTAAATGTGGTAATGGCTTAGGGTTTAGGGTATAAGGGGAACAGGGCTGTAATAGGTTAGAATTGGATGCAGCTGTTGTTCCCGCACCTGCAACAGTACACCCATCTAGACGCAGTGTACCATCTCTTGGAGTTCGAGGCGGTTAGGCTTTAGGGTTTAGGGTTTGTTTAGAGACCCTGCTGTTTGTCCAGCCAGTTACGACTACCTACAAGCTCTGAGAGAAATTCCGCACCCATGTGACTAAAAGCTTTGAAAGAAACGAAAAAACAGCCAAGCCGCGAGCCGTGCACTCCGAAGCTTTTCATGTGTTAATGATTCTAGTGTTCCTCTCATCACATATCGGGGTTTTGTACAATGTTACGGCTTGTTTTAGCACCATGGGCCTCTGTAAAGCGTTGTTTTCCTTGTTCAAGCCGGTACCAAAAAAACGGCGGCCTAATTAGTGTGGTTTGTCATTTTTGTCGTGGGATTTTTAGGGGGTGATTGTCCTGTCTGCTGATGGTCAATCTTGACTAGGATGCCCAGTAGTACCCTTATTCCCTTTTTGTAGTCCTAGGTTCCTTATAAAGTTACCCAATACCAAAAAGAGAAGCCTTTTTATTCTCAGGTTACTGGGTATCCTAGCCTCTAAACTCTGCTTGGAGGATCATGGGACTTAGGAAGTATGGTTCCTTTAAGGGGTCCTTATAGGGATCTATAGGGTTTCTTCAAGGGATCTATAGGGTTTAGGGTTTAGGGTTGAGGCACCCGCGACCTAAACCCCCGCTCAAACCCTAAAACCCTGGACCTGAAGCCGAAAGCTCTGCCTAAACCCTATATGGGAGTTTGCGAAAATTCGCTCCAGATCTCCCCAGTCCGAAAATTAGGGGTACCTTTAAAGGGATCCTTTAGGGGATCCTTAAAGGGATCTATAAGGGTTCTATAAAGGGTTTAGGGTTTAGAGTTTCCGAAAATTCGGAGTACCTTATCTTGGGGTCCTTATAATAAGGATCCTACTATTTAGGTACTATATTAGGGTCCCCTATTTTCGGAAACTCTTATATACTTATATTAGAAGCTGCCCTCACCCTGTAATAGTGGTATAGTAGGAATATAGCAGGGCCCGAATATAATCCTATATAATCCTTATAGTCACTATTACAGGGTGGGGACAGCTTCTAAGATATACTTATTTAAGCCTAAACCTGAAATCATCACCCTTGAGCCGAATCTCAACCCCCTCAACCCCAAAGCCTCTGCTACTTTGCCCTAGCACAGCTTGAAGAATTGCAACATGAGTGACAGCTAAAGTACGGGTAGCAATTTGTAAGTAATGCAATCAAAGCACTTGTGCTGACAAGCGAGCCCCCAAACCCCGGGACCTTCCAATTCCTTTCTAATTAACTTAATCAAAGCCACCCAGACCCTGACCCCGGTCCGAAGGGTCACTGACACCAGACTATTCAAGCCACATCTTTGGTGGGGGGGGACCATTATTCAAGCTGTAACATTACAAGATGCGCAACGTCATCGAAACCCTGAATACCTGAATGTCGAGGCCGCGTACAGGAGAGGCCTACCCAGCCTAGCCAACCTTCGAGGGCTTCGGAATGTAGGGTTTCCCTTTTTGGGCGTAACGCACAAGGCGTGGACAGAGTTCTTGTGCCCCCACGGTTTATAAGGTTTAGAGTGTAACCGAAATCAGAGATTGCCGAGGTATGTTGCCCACGACGATGGCAGGCACACCTTCGGGATGTTCCTTCAACCCTAAACGTTTCTTACAAAACCCCAAACCCCACTAAACCCCAGACCCTCCCCTATTCAAGAAGGAAAACAACCCGATTCGAGCTCGGAGACATGGGTAGTGTCGGGACCTAGTATAGAAATTATTGCGATTCCAAGTCGATGTAGGGTTTAAGGATGTGGCTTTTGATTTCTTTAGGTTAGTTTTACAGGTGTGATTCGCGCTTGAGGTGTTTGGGAGTTGCGAGTCTGTTTAAGAGAGACCCGACTCCCATATCAAAAACCGACAATTTTGGCAATGAGCAGGGTTTAGGGTTTTGCGGGTTAGGGTTTAGGGTTGGCTCCCTTTTGGGATTCCGTTGAGCGGGTTGAGAGCAGTAGACACCTCAACCCCCACGCATGTGGTCCCTTTAATGGTGGACGCCCCAGGTTCAGGTGCGCCTACCACCGATGTGAGGGTAAAGCTGCGTCCCCAGTAAGTGTTTTGTAGCGGTATTGGATTAATTACAGTTGTTTCTGTAAGGGATCTATATCGGGGCCTATATGAGGGTTTAGCTTTTGTAGGCTTTTCGGGGTTTGAGTTTGGGGTCTTGAAATTTTTTGCTCGTTGGACATAGGATTTTGGGGTCGGTTTGGGTATGGTTTGCGGCTGAGGGCTGCTCGTCAAGGTTTGTCGGCTTGGAGTATGGGTTGAGAAGTAGGGCTCAATGAGTACTACGGTTGATGATAGAAATCCTGCATGACCGGAATGGCTCTAGACCATGGGAAATAATTATGGTATATTCCTTATTCTGTGTAATGCAGGATTTATATCATCAACCGTACCACGCATTGGGCTGCGGGTTTGCATGGCCGACACAACTAAATCCTCCTATCTTCAGAAGTCATGATGGGTGCAAGGGCTTAAGGCTTAGAACCCTAAGCCCTAAACCCTGAACCCTAAACCCCTAACCCTTAAACCCCTAAAACCTAAACCCTAAGCCCTAAACCACAAACCCCTATAGGGGTTTGTGGCGGAACAGTCTCAAAGCTTTGCTGCCCCTGCAGCTAAGCACAAGCAACGAACACTGCATGGTTCGTTGTTGAAGGCCTCCCGCATGGCACGATCAAGGCGTCGCGCTGCCCGCCAGGCCGCCAGAAAGCGAAAAAGTGCCGGCGGTCTGTAACAAGAAGCGCTGAGAGCCGCGGCTACGCACAAAAGGATCCAACGCAATATCAATCTTCAGCTGCGTGGTCTTACTGTGGGAGTCTGGAGATGCCTCAAAAGATCCAACGCAATATCAATCTTCAGCTGCGTGGTCTTACTGTGGGAGTCTGGAGATGCCTCAAAAGGATCCAACGCAATATCAATCTTCAGCTGCGTGGTCTTACTGTGGGAGTTTGGAGATGCCTGAAAGGATCCAACGCAATATCAATCTTCAGCTGCGTGGTCTATAAACCCTAAACCCTAAGTTTGAGGGGTTACATCTCCAGTGAAGGCGCTACTGGCCCTGCTCTGAAGCTCTAAATCTGAAACTCTAAGTAGGGAGCAGCCCCCAAATTCCAGGGTTTAGGGTTTGGGGAAACGACGAGCCCCAAAAGCAAAACCCTAAACCCTGTAACCTAAACTAAGCTAGCAGATACCATTTCCATTTTCTCACCATGCCCCACCCCCTAGCACCCAAACCAGAACAACCCATGCCTCAAACCTTAACTCACCAGAATCCCCAACCCCAGTACCCACACGATGGAACCACCAGAGGAACCATACACCACCACATAGAAAAAATCCAACCATAGACCAATACCCGCATAGAAAAAACCATACTCCCCAACTCGAAATCCCCTTGGCTTTAAGGGTTTAGGGATTAGGGTTTAGGGGTTTTGGGCTCAGGGTTAAGGTTTAGGGTCTAGGGTTTCGGGTTTATAGGGGGTTCAGACCGAAGCCACGAAAAAGAAGCTGTTCTACCCGCAAGCCCCCTGTGGAATCCTTGCGAGGTCTCATTGCCATGACGACCGAAACTACTTTCGTTTATACCTCAACCGGTTTAGGGTTTAGGGGTTTAGGGTCTAGGGTTCTAAAAAACCTACATGAAGCACTGCCCCCCATACGTTAAGAGTCGAGGCTGCTAATTGCTATATTATTCAACTATTACTGAATGGGGGCTGTACCCAACCTCAACCCGAACGACTCACCCTGAGGCCTATCCCTGTGATCAGTTGCCCAGCCGGCTCTGCAATGTCCGGGGCACGCTTCTCAGGAAGGGCTTGCTGCAGGTTGCCGTTGTCGAGGGCTTGGGCTTTAGTTGCTGTGGTTCAGGGTTTCGGCAGGCTCTCCGATATGGATTTCTGGGTTTCGGGGCTTGAGGTTTAGGACTGTAGGAGTTTAGGGTCAAGGCGTATGGTTGGGCTTCCAGCCGGACGGCCTTAGCTCATGAATCGCAGATCCTGATCAAGGTTTGGGTTTTCATGCGGTTGACGATATAAATTCTCTTCAGGACCTTAGACTATTGGAGTTGTGGTATACTCCTGATATTTGGGTAATGCAGGTTTTTAGATCATCAAACGTATTTAACACACCCAGAGGGTCCATATACACTACCATTATGGAGCTAGGTCCCCCCCAAATCCATTATTAGGATGCTCTTCTGGGGCCTAATTTAGCTTCCATATGGGAATTTCCGAAAATAGGGGACCCTAATATAGTAACCTAAATAGGATGATCCTTACTATAAGGACCCCCAAAACAAGGTACCCCCCAATTTTCGGAAACTCCCAGTTTTGGACAGCTTGAGGTCGGCTGGGTGTCTATTTTTCACGTCTAAGCGCCGGCAAGAACTCTCGGCCCTCCGCTCTACAGACCGTAATTGAATAATTAGGGTTCCTTTAAAGGGCTCCTTTAAAGGCCTTATAAGGGATGTTTACTAGGGTTTTATGTCTAGGGCCTATTTTGGGCTTTTCTAGTTGGAGTATGTAGTGTTTTGGTATACTAAAGTTATGATAAGGAACCGCCGCGTAGTCTTGGTATTTATTCAGCCACGTACATGAAGGATGGAAGCATGGGAAGAGCTCCGTAACATAGTTACTATATATATATATATATAGAGCGCAAACGCAAAGGCTATTTTGGGTTTAGGTATATATACAGCGCTTAGATCCCGAAAACCGAAGGATTGAACAACAACTCTGTCTTGTTGCACGTAGTACTTTCTAGGATCCCTTTGGATAATACAAGCCGCTTCAGCGGGCTGAATATTTCGTAGTACTCGGTTTAGAGTTTAAGGTGTGGTTCTTTGATATGGTTCCCACCATGCCCTATTAGAATTGGCAAGGCCCCTGTATGAACCCCTTGGAGTACTTTTCTTCTCGCATAATTCAGAGGGTCTGCGTAAGGGTTCCTGATCCCCGAAAGCCGAAAGCAATGGCGTGAATGACAACAGTTGTTATTGAGTGGTTACTGTTTAAGGGTTTTTTGTAACAGGGCTTCTGTAAGACGAGGTTCTATGAGAGTGGTCAATAGGAGTTCTATAGTAATGTGCTTTTGGTTCATTGTTTGGGCCTATAAGGTGTAGGATTTGGGGGGGTTGTTTGTTTCTGGGGTTTAAGGGTGTGCGGCCTTATGCCCAACAAATCCTGCCGGATCCAGGAGACTCCCGCAATGAGTTTTGTTGTTCTCGCATGCTAGCGATAGCAGGTACTCATGAGCAGTTGTCACTGTCATTGTACTGCATCCCAGCGGCTTGAGCAGGGTTGAGGTATCGGTGGGGCTGCTCCGGCTTTGGCACCATTGACTCAGTGACCTGACAAAGACTGATCACGCTCGGACTCCAGATTCCAAACTCCACTGGCATGGAAAGAAGCGAATTTGCTTGCGCTTTTCCTGTGATTTTCTGACATTGTCTTGCGCAATTGCGCTGATTCGTTCGGAAGCGGAGCTGTAATTTGCAGCTGACCCAAGTATACGGGCTGTTTCCGAAAGGCTCCTGTACCTTTATAGTAGATACTTAAGCCTTAAAGGGGTCCCTATATAGGTACTTTAAGGCCTAAGTATATGCGATATGGGAGTTTCCGAAAACAGGGGACCCTAACATCGTACCCTCTTACTTGGAGGATCATGGGACTTAGTAAGTATGGTTATAAGTACCTTTGGTGGGGTTATAAGTAATTATAAGTATAGTTACCGTAATTGTAACCCTAGTTACTAAGTCCCCTGGTCCTTTAAGTAGGGTTTTGAGGCAGACATTTCCAGCTTGGTTGCGGCGGCAGCTGCCACGGATAGGGCCCGGGATCGATTTGGGAGTTTCCGAAAACAAGGGGTACCTGATTTTGGGGTCCTAAATATAAGGATCCTACTATTCAGGGTACTATATTAAGGTCCCTAACTATCAGAAACTCCCATCTTTGACAAGAGTTACGATTGAAAGGGCGGCAGACTAGTCTGTTTCACATATCTGCAGGGCATCTTGTATGACCTCATGGCTTTAGAACTGCCGATCGGTGGTCCAATGTAAACTGCCGAACCCTAAACTGTCGATGCCACTCCTAAGCCCGTGGCCCTAAGTTCCATGAACCCTAACCCTAAGCCCTCGGCCCTAAACCTTTTGCCCTAGGGTCCCTAAACTCTAACCCTAGACCCCTTCGAAGCCCTAACCGCGTAAACCCAAAGCCTCACAGAGCACTTATAGACTAGGACCCAGAGTAGGCCCTTATTTCCTTTTTTTAGGGTTCAGGTCCCCTTATGAGCCCCTTTAAGCCAAAAAGGGCACCCTTTTTATTCCTAGGTTACTCTTGGGTCTAGTAGAGGCCTCCTACAGTCCCCTACCTCCACAGATCAGGCTTCAAGGGTTTGTAAGGCTTAGGGTTTAGGGTTTGGGGCTTACTGTAGGGTTCCTATAAGGGGCCTATAAGGATCTAGATAATCATACGGTCGAGGGTCTTTGGTTTAGGGTTCAGGGGAACCGCAGACCCTCTTGAAAAGTTGTTCAAACGAGGCCTGCGGCGGTGCTCTTCAGCCAGGAACAGTGGCATGGCTGCAGGGTTCGGGGTCGAGTGCTTAGAGATCCTTTAAGGGTTCCGCTTCAGGTAATAATTGTTCGGGGTTTCTACAGGCTTTGTTGGTGCCGATTTTGCCAGGTAAGGGGCCATTGCTTGTCTCTGAACTATAGTGCCTTCTTAATGCTTTAGCGAGCAGCTTCGTTAAACTAAGCCCTGGGAATGGCCCCAGACCTCAAACCCACAATCCTCAAACTTGACACCATCTGAAACTCCAAATCTGTACCGGTGTTAGGGCCTAGGGCTTTAGGTGTTCGGGTAGGGTTTGATAGCCCGGTGATTACTATCCCGAGTAATAGAGAAGGCAACCTTTAACCTTTTTGGGGTAGTATAGTCCCTATATACTCCCTGTATACCCAAAAAGGTTAACCTTTAGTTCCCCATGATACCCGATAAGTGGGAACCTTATTCCCTCAACCCTAAACCCTACCCTAAATCCTAAACCCTGAACCCTGAAACCCTAAACCCTAAACCCTGAAAGGTAGCGGTTTTTCTTGCTCGGGGATCTTCGAGGTTTTTGTGGCTTCAGGGCTTAGGGCTTCGATGCGTCGAGGGCGGAATGCAGAAGCGTCTGCTGCTGTGCCGTGACGATAACTATATATGAGAGTTTCCGAAAATAGTGGACACTAAACCCTAAACCCTAAGCCCCACTAGTACACCTTATTTCGGAAACTAGGATACGATGTCGCTGCGACTCGATGGAGGGCCGGACTTTTGCTGGGAGTAAAGTTTCGGAAGAGCAATCGGTGCGGACAAAGATGAAGATTTTCGGAGAACCCATCGAAATCTTACTTGGGGTCCTTATAGTAAAGATCCGACTATTTAGGGTACTATTGTTGATGATATAAATCCTGCGTTACCCATAATCAGGAATATACCACTATTCCCATAGTTTAGGGCCCTTAAGGTTGTGCAGGGTTTATATCATCCACCGTATATTACTGGTAGGCTCCGCTACATTCGGAAACCGCCAGATCGCTCAGTAGTCCCAGCTGCTAAGACTGTCTGGTTCTCAGTAAGGAATGCGGCAAGACCGCCCAGACCTTCCAAAATCCCGTAATTAAGCAATATACCTTAAATCAGATTAAGGATCCTACTATAATTTAAGGGATATTCCTTAATTAAGGGATTTTGGAAGGTCTGGGCAGGTCGGTAGTGCAGTTCCTGTCGGGACGGGTATCCCGCCGCCCAGCCCCGCTATGCCCCCAACAGCCGGGGCAACAGACGGTCCTGCGTCATCACATGCAATTGCCGTCGGAGAGAGCTCCGAGACGACACCCGAGCACTTGGAAGGTATCTTTCTGATCGTGGGCCAGGACTATGTGCGACCCCATTGTGGGATCTCCCGGGCTCTGAAGATCCTTGGGAAGACTGGGAGCAGCGGTCCCAGGGACAGCAGACGGCGGCTCCTGCCTGGCAGCAGGAGTGGATCGATGCTGGGTGGAGCCAAGATCCTGGCAACCCCCATATTTGGTGGAAGAAGCAGTGGGACGGCCGGTGTGGTGCTCATGGACTGCACCCGGCTCAACGGGACCATTTTCGCCTTGCAGGTCCCCAGACTTCTGCATGAGCGGGCCATTCTGATTGCGCTTGGTTTGAGACCCGAGGATGACGCGGAAGTCTATTTTCGAGACTTGCCATGGCCGCTGCCACACCATGCACAAGTGGAGACGGTCCATGGTGATGCTGTCATTGTGGTCCCCACCCCTAATTTGCGGAAACTCCCGTGTAGGTTAAAGCGAACCCAGAAGTTGTGAACTTTCCGGGGGTCTTACCGTTTACGGCTTGGGCTGACCCATAGCAGTGTTTAGGGCACCCTTCACCACAGTGCCCTGTGGGGCTAGAAACATCCCACTGAGAGGATCATGGGACTCAGTAAATAGGGTTATAACTAAAGTACCTATAACTATACCTATTTACGTATAACCCCACCTAAGATACTTATAACTTATAACCACACTTACTGAGTTGCATGATCCTCCAACTGTTCAGGAAAGCCAGCAGAGTCTGAATGAGGTTCAGAGTTTAGGCACTTTTGTTTGATAATCGTTTATAGGGCTTCAGTGTAGACCCTAATCCCACCCCTACACAAGTCTGCAAAGGTTCACCAAAAATGCCCAAGCCTTACTCCAAGACCTAAAGGTTTGAACAGGTTTAGGTTTAGAGGGTTCAGGGCTTAAGGCTTCAGGGGTAGGGTAGTTGGAAAACGAGCTTGTCAAGAGAAGTTCGTTAGTACATTAGTACTTACAGGCTCATGGGACTTAGTAAGTAAGGTTATAAGTAGGTTATAAATAGGATAACCCCATTTAGGGGACTTATAACTCCAAGTATATACCTACTTACTAAGCCCCAGGATCCTCAAAGGAAGCCCTGAAGGAGCTCTCTGCACCTTGTAGGTGGGGTGTAGCGTTTACCTTAACCCGAAATAACCTACCTTTTTAGGGTTCCTTATGATTTCCTTGTATAAGGCCTCGAAAAGGTAGGTTCTTCAGGGTGTACGGTTTAGGCCTTTGCAGAGGGGTCTTTTCTACATCAGGATGACTTCTAGGCCCCATTGAAGGGATACCCGAAAGCCTAAACCCTAAACCCTAAAGTTTGCTCTGCGGCCTCCCTTATGTAGGATGTAACATGGGTTCCATGTTCTGTGGCGGGAACCCTAAACCCTAAACCGGGTGTTCAAAATTAATTCGGGTCCCTTGTCGGCTTCCTCATTCCAGGAGAGGCGCCTCGTTGCTATCCGGATCCTTTAAGGGCAGGCCGGGGACTACTTAAAGGGATCTATAGGGCTTAGGGTTTCGGGTCTATAATTATGACATGCATGCGACATCCGGGGAAGCCGCTGAAGTTGCTGAACGGTTCCAAGCTTCATCAATCTCTGCCAGCCTCTAGAAAGCCCTTGCAAAAGGGAGCTAAATTAAAGGGTGTACGTCAGGATATTGGCTTAGGGTTTCTGGCTAACCTGAAACTCCTTCTCCGCCGTGAATGCAGCCGAGGTGAAAATGATCAGTGAGCCCGTGGTGACCCTCGGGTTGATCAGGGCTTGGGGATTTCAGGGTCTAGGTCTGGGGGATGTTTGGGGTTCAGGGTTTCAGAGTTTAGAGTTGTTGAGGGTTTAGGGTGTAGGGTTTATAGGTGTAGCACCGGGCTTCTGGGTTCAGGGTTTACAGCTTCGTATTTCAGGTTGTGCAACTGACGAAGCGTTGGTATACCGGCCGCAGGGGAGGCTGAAGGGTTTTGGGCCCGGGCTATGTCAGTCTCGATCAGCCAGTTTTGTCGATGCTCTCACATGGGGGAAAGTAGATGCAGGACTTTTGCTTAAGCTGCAAGTAAACAGTCCTATGTAGCTAAGCACAAACTACAAGGTTAGATCACATGATTATCATAATCACGGATGTTAACATGTTTGATTATGCAACTTCTCTAATGGTGCTGCACAAGCTCACATCCTGTATGCCGTAGTCTCAGGGATGCCCTAAACCCTATAGACCCTAAACCAGAGACCCTCGACCGTATGATTATATCGTACCTTTTTTGGTCCCTTATAGGAACTCTGCATAGTTCCTTTAATGGGATCCTGCCTTTCATTCGTTTCGTACTGAATCCTTCAAAGGCGAAACACGAAAACCCAAACCCTGTTTGGAGGATCATGGGGCTTAGTAAGTATGGTCCCTTAAAGGGGTCCTTCTTGGGTTGCTTAAAGGGATCCTTAAGGGGATCTATAAGAGATCCATAAAGGAGGATCATGGGGCTTGGTAAGTATGGTTATAAGTACCTTAAGGGGGGTTATAAGCAATTGTAAGTATAGTTACCTTAGTTATAACCTTAGTTACAAAGTCCCATGATCCTCTAAGTAGACTCTAAACCCTAAACCCTATAGATCCCATTATAAGGAACCCAATAGATCCCTTTGAGGAACCCATATAGATCCCTTTAAAGGAACCCTTAATCCAAACCCGGACCGGATCGGAGGTACAACCGCCGTCGCTCCTCTCCTCCGGGTATCTCTACGGCCGGCCCCGGCCAGTGGTGCCTTGGATCTGGATATTCTGAAAACCTGAACCCCTAGCAGCCCTAAACCCTAAACCGGTTTAGGGCCCTAAACCCTAAACCCTAAACCCTAAACTCTAAACCCTAAACCCTAAACCCTATAAACTCTAAACCCTAAACCCTAAACCCTAAACCCTAAACCGTGGCAGAATCAAGAAAACGACAAATAAATAACCCCTGAAGCCCCCCCACCTCTACATCCTGCAGGGTGTAAGGCTCGCCTGCCAAGGTCCAAAAGCCCCAAACCGTTTAGGGTTTAGGGTTTAGGGTTTAGGGCCTCTGGCGATTCCTGCTTGCTTTGAAAGATAGTGTCAATTTTGCTCCCCTTCCAAAGAACGAGCGCTTAAACCCCTCACACAAGACTGCGAACCCGAATTTTTTCGGGGTACTGCAAGGGTTCGATAATGGGTTCAGGGTTTAAGGTTTAAGGTTTCCTGAGCCTGACCCCAAGCCGGTCGGTTCAGGGTGTAGGGCTTCATTAGGGTTTTCCGGGCTACGAGGATGATGAGGCTTGCTAGGGTTAGGGTTGAGGGTTTAGGGGTTTAGGGTTTAGAGTTTTTGTGGGGTGTGTTCGGATTATGAGGCTGATTAGAGCCCTAGGATGCCCAGTTGTACCCTTATTCCCTTTTTGTAGTCCTAGGTTCCTTATAAAGTTACCCAACACCAAAAACAGAGGCCTTTTTATTCTTAGGTTACTGGGTATCCTAGAGCCATTGTGGTTTTTGGGAATTACAGACATGCAGACCTTTCCAACTCCTCCCAACCCCAGATTCCATCGATAGAACCTTGAACCCTTAAGACACCCTAAACCCTAATCCTTGAAGCCTTACAAAGCCGAAGCCCTAAACCCTTACAAACCCAGACCTTCCAAAATCCCTTAATTAAGGAATATCCCTTGGATTATAGTAGGATCCTTAATATGATTTAAGGTATATTCCTTAATTAAGGGATTTTTGAAGGTCTGGGAAACTCCAAACCCGAAGCCCAAACCCTTACATACCCGAAAGCATACACCCAAAGCCCTTACAGACCCAAAACCCTCAAAACCCTTAACACGGACGACCCCCCAAAAACCCAATAGCCGAAACTCCTAAGCCCTATAGTCCCTAAACCCCCATAGTGCCTCATTATTTAGATCGCTTCTACGAAACCCTTGTAGTTCCTTTAAATCCCTTAGCCCTAAACCCTAAGTTTCAAACCCAAATCCCAAACCCTAGAACCCCAAACCAAAACCCAAACCCTAAACCCTCGAACCGTAGACCCAAAACCCAAACCCTATACCCTAGAACCCCAAACCCTAGAAACCCTAAAAACCCCGTAGTAGTACCCTTATATGAATCTTTTTCGAAGCCCTTAAAGCTCCTTGAAAAGAACCTGAACCCCGATGGTTAAGCCCTAAACCCTAGACCTTAGACCCTATTCCCTAAAGCCTACTTCCTAAACCCCACAATTCCTAAACCCTGAAACCCCAATCTCTGAACCAGTCACATGGTCTGAATTGTCAGATATGCAGGAACAAGTTGCAAGAGTTTCGGGGCTGGCTGATGTTCCCTGCGACAGTGTACACGTTCCTATCACCGCAAGAATACCGTAATTTCAAGCCCCACAGCAAGAAGCTGAAAATCTATTGCGGGCATGCTGTGCTGATGTCATGCTGGTTCAGTTTGGCCTGCGCCCTCAGTGAGAATGACGTTGAAAAAGTGGGCGCATTGGTCACGGCGGGCATCACGGCGACCTTGCACGTCCGCGAGTTCACGTCAGACGGAGAAGTCGCAAAGTCTGCCATCAGCTGCCCGGCAGCAGCATGCAAGAGTGCATTTAGGTAGCCAGTACCTTGCCCAAGTTCAATGATGCAGCAGAAGCCAGAGCGCCGCCTGCAAGAACGCGGGGATGGTCACAGGTGAGTCCTTCTTGTCCTGGATGCTCCTGTACAAGCTTTTGGGTTTAGGGGTGTATGGTCTAGGCGGTACATGAATTGTGGTGCTGAGGCGAAAATGTCGAACATCTCGCAAGACTGCACGCAGCCATAAAACCCTAAACCCTGAACCCTATCCCCAAAAGCAAATCGATTCCGGCATCTTCGAAGTGAGCGCTGGTCTGTCGCCCAGGCCCACTGATGTCCAGTCGCTCTGTCAGGCCGCCCCCTGACTCCTAAAGGGCTCCTTAAAAGGGATCTATAAGGGTCCCTTAAAGGGATCTATAGGGCTCCTTAAAAGGGATCTTTAAGGGTTCCTTCAAGGGATCTATAGGGTTCCTTAAAAGGGATCAAGGGTTCCTTAAAGGAATCTATAGGGCTCCTTAAAGTCATCTTTAAGGGTTCCTGATACTGGGATCTATAGGGGTTTAGGGCCTACTTAAAGGATCATGTGACTTAGTAACCAGGGTTCTAATTAAGGTAACTGTACTTGTAACCACATAAAACTCTTTATAACCTTACTTACTAAATCCCAAGATCCTCCAAGTCTAGACCTTAAACTCCTTGACCCTGAACCCTGTATCTCAGAGTTTGCTTCTGCATGTGTGGTAACCGGCTTGTTATGGGATATGGCAGTTTCCGAGAAGTAGGGGTACCTTATTTGGGGTCCTTATAATAAGGATCCCACTATTCAGGGTCCTATATTAGGGTCCCCTATATTCGGAAACTCCCAAACCGTGCTTTTGTGGAGGAGAAGTGAGGAATGGCAGTCGTCGTCGTAGGAGGAGTAGGCGCATGAAATCAGGAATAGGACCAGTAGCAGGAAGGTTTAGGGTTTAATGGGAGTAGTACGAGCATGTAGTAGGAGCACGAGTGGGAGAGGACTGGGACGAGTAGCACGAGAAATGCGAGGAGTGTGAGTAGTACCGAAGCGCGACATGTACGCTTGGTGCGAGTGCAGTATGAGTGCAGTCGAGTGCAATGGGTTTGGGAGTAGTAAGAGTAGCGGAATCCGAAGGAGTAGTCGGAGGAGCAGGAGTAGGAGTTGAAGTGGGAACTTGAGTGGCAGCACAGATGGGAGCAGGAGCAGGGTTTACATTGGGCACAATGGGCACAATGATCGCAACTTAAATCCAGAGCGTTGTTTGTTCATTCATCTTTGAGATCCGTGTCCACGCAGGATCTAAGTCCATGCAGTTGCCCAGCAGGCTTATGTCAGAAAACCCTAAACCCTAAACCCCAAACCCCTAAACCCCCAAACCCAAAAACCCTAAACCCTAAAGCAAGGAGAACCTGAGATGCTGTCTCGGTTCGTGGAGAAGCGGCCTGAAGCTCGGGACGGCAAGGACTTACCAGATGGGGACAAGCGGGATCCCGACGGTGGCGCAGGCTCTGGAGTGGCCCGTGCTGGAAGGAGGGCGCTTGGTTCTGGCTCGGAGCTAGGCGTGGGCTTTGCATCTCTTTCATCGGATTCTGGCGAGCGTCCCAAGGAGGCCAAGCGGGCACGGCCCGAGGCAAAGCCCGAGTCTTCCTCGGACGTCAACTCCGATGAGCCGAAGAGGCCGGCGCCAAAGGCAAATGTTGTGGCTTCGCTTGCAAAGAAGGACTGTGGAGCGAAGGCAAAGGTGCAGGCTGCCAAGAGCGAGCCGAAGGCCATGAAGAAGCCGGCGGCAGTGAGGAAGCAGTAGCCACTCACAGTGCAGGTCCACGTGTGAAAACGAAGGGTTTGGGCACTCACCTGTCGCTCACCTGTCGCTCACCCCGCGCGCGCGCATTTGTCGCTCACCGCGCCGCAAATTTGTCGCTCACCTGTCGTTCACCTGTCGCTCACCGCGCGCCGCGCATTTGTCGCTCACCTGTCGTTCACCTATCGCTCACCTGTCGCTTCTGCGTTTACCCGAAGGCCCCAAAGTAGTTCCTTTTGGGAGTTCATATATAAAGAATCCCAATGTAATCCCAAAAAGGAACTACTTTGGGGCCTATTTCAGGACGAAGAGTTCGATCACTGTAGATGCTGTGTTGCATAACACCCCAAATCCTGAAAGCTCAAAATCTTCCGGCTCGCCATCGACCCAGAAGACTGCCCCAAGTCACCCTGTTGAGGCAGAAGAAGTGTCAGCTCTTGCTGAACTGCCGTACTGAGGGGATCATGCCCTTGCGCGTAACATAGGAGGCTACATTACTTGGTCATATAGGATGTCATAGGGTTTAGGGTTTTGGGTTTAGGGTTTAGTGTTCCCCTAGAGGACGTAGAACATCATGGGACTATACCACAACGGCCTAATCGAGATATTAAGGCCGCTATCTTGCCTCATAGATGTCCGGGCTCTTGGGGTTTGGGATGCAGACATACAGCCAGTCCGGGGGTTAAGAAATATGAGAGGGTTTAGGGGTTTAAGGGTTTACGGATTTAGGGGTTTAGGGATTAAGGGGATTTAGGGGTTTAGGGGCTTTAGGACAAGAGGAATTGGACTGAAACTTTCTGCACTTTTCGTGCATGCAGTGGGCCTGAATCCTACACTCCTATGCGCAGACATCTAGACCGCGTTTGTTTGTTCAGGGTTTAGGGGCTTGGGGGTACGGTCTCACCTTGCAGATCCTTTCGCAGGTTCTCACCGCGGCAGCGATAACGACAACGACAAAGCTTTTCCAGAAAGCCCATTCGCACTTAGTTGCAGAATACTCCGCGAAATAATCAGACACAAAGCCCACAAGGAGTATTCCGAATTACCCAGCAGGGCTCTGGGGACATTCCACATCAGCCCTAAACCTTACACGTATTGCCTCGAACCCTCCCCTATAAAACCAAATCATGAACCCCGAATCAATCCTTAAGTCTATCTACAAGCCTAAACCTCAAATCCCAAACCATTAGGCTAAACCCTAGGTATCTACAAGCCGTAAACTTAAACTTTACCCATACTTCACTTTTTCCCTTAGAAGCCTTCAACCTAGCAAAACGTAAGTTGTTGTAGGGCTCCTACAAATTCCATATTACGGTTTATAATAAGAACCTACAAATCAGGTAGGGTTATGGTGGTTCAGGGTAAGCTCTGAGTCAAAACCTTGGGGGGCTGCAGGCTATAAGATCAGAGGATGTCGTCATGGGGATCCAAAAACCAGCAGTCGTTTAGCTGCGGCTTAGGGGTTTAAGGTTTTGGGGGTTACCGTTTCGTTAAAGGGTCGCAACCTACTCTTTCGTACTTGGAGGATCATGGGACTTAGTAAGTAAGGTTATACATACCCTAATTGGGGGATATAAGTAATTATAAGTATAGTTACCTTAATTATAACTCTAGCTACTAAGTCCGATGAGCCTTTAAGCACCCAACATCCCCCCCTCCCGGCGCACTTGTGACTCTCGCCGGAAGTAGTTACTAAGTTCCACGATCCTCTAAGTAGACCCCCAACCCTAAACCCCTATGTAGGACCTTTATGTACTATTTGACGGGTCTCTCTTTGTATAGTATTGAGTCTAAATTATTCAGCTAGGGCTCAGGGTTGAGGTGTCGTAGCTGCTCGGGCTCCTCGTCGGGTTTAAGATTGTGCAGCCCAAAGTCACCTGCAAGTTCTCCTATTCCTACTACCCTACTCCTGCTTTCTACCACTCTCACTCTCCAATTCGCGCCTTCCTATTCCCATTTGCCTAGTCCTACTCACTTACTCCCATTCTCATGCTCCTCCTTTCCTGTTTCAGTGATCTTTCATTCTTTATTTCCTATCCTCCACTCCTCACCCTCTTACGCCCTTACTCCTGCTCTTCTACTCCCACTCTCCCACTACTGCCACTCTCCGACTACTCTCGTACTCGTGGCTTCTTGCTCGTACTCTCCTGCTGCGACTCTTCTGTGCCTTTGCTTTGATTCGTATTCTCCCGACCCCTAGTCTCCTTCCTCTATTCGATTACTCACCTTGCGTCTACTCCCCCTGCTCTCCTATTGCGACCATTCCATTCGTATTCTCTTACTGCTGCTGTCTTCCTGCTACTCTTCTTTTCCCTCCAAGGAGTAGGCATCGAGGTAGGGCAGTAGGAAATACAGTGGTGGGAATCGCGCAAAACTAGGAATAACTAACATGCGTGTAGGAGAGAGTACCAGGAATAGCGGTTAGAAATAGCCCTAAGAGAAGGTGCATGGAGGGCAAGGAATCGGAAACTAAATTGAGAGAGTAGGAATGGATATGAGGGAGTGGGAATAAGACAAAGAGAATGAGAGTAGAACGTGTTTGAAATAGGAGGATAGGGGGCGGAGAAAATGGGAGTGAGAATGTGCACAGTGAGTTTGACATTAGGAGTCGGAGGACAGGAATATGCGAACAAGAGACGAAAAGTTAGACTAGGAGAGGAGGAGCCACATATTAGGAGTAAGAGAGTAGGAAGGCAGGAGTAGAATTTAGCAGAAAAGGAGTAGAAGAGACGTACCAGAAGAATACGAATAAGAGAGTAGGAGCAAGATATGACATCTTACTATCCTGTTATGCTACTCTTCTAATCTCTTTATCTTGTACTCCTACTCACCTAACCCTATTCTCCGATTCTTGCAGTTACCTTCCTGCCCTGCCTAATTATTCTCCGACTATTTAAAAAACTCTTTTGAAACCGTCTACTTACCACTGGTTGAAAGATCATTTCCCTTACACTACTTTTGTCGTACCCCTGGTGTGGAATTCATCCTACTAATCGGCAGGAATAGAGGAATAGGAATAGGGAAGTACAGGTAATGGGGTGGGAATATGATGGGAATCGGAGTCCATCTCATACTTTGTTCAATCCCATCATGTCACTCCTACCTTCCTGCTTTTTGTTCTCTTACTCTCCTACTCCTACCCTCTTGTTCCTTTTCATCTACTTTACCTTCCTGTTCTTCTTATTATCATACCGCTGCTCTCCTATTCCTGCTTTCCCACTCCTGCTCTCGGCCACTCTTAGTCTCCTATTCGTACCTTCCTATTCCCATGTTCACAGTCCTACTCTCCTACTTCCATGCTCATGCTTCTGCTGCCCTTTGACAGTTTCCAATCCCCCGGAGGTTTTTCAATTCCCTTCTTTCCTATTCTCCACCCCCCATTCTCCTGTTCTCCTCCTGTGCTACTCTTCTGCTGTCCTGTTCTCTTGCTTTCTGCCTACTCTCCTACTCCTGCTCCTCTAACAACACACTCTCCTCTCCCACTCTCTTACTTCTACTCTCTTACTCCTGGTTTCTT